TTCACATCGGCTCTGGAAAGTGATACCCATCAGTAGAGCATATCAGACAACTTTATCGTAGCAACTATATGGATATATATATATATCTACATAGTCGCATCGTAAGCGTTCCGCTTAGTACCTTCGTGTGCCGATGTGACCTTCAATATCTTTAAGAATTTCTGCTCGAAGCTGCTTTCGCCTTCTCTCTCTCTTGCGTCCGGGGCACTAAACCACTGTTCGGTTTGTGGTATACGTGTAGAGGAAGGTGAGTACTCCTACTCAGAGATAGACCTAGAACGCTAGAAAAAACGCGGTGTAGTATAACTGCACGAGAGTTACACCACATTGAACCAAACATACCAACAGAGGTTGGTTGCAAATACACCCATAGCACGAAAAGAACACAGTGTCTATGATGTACTGTACAGTACTCACGTAGCCCAACTGAGCTTCTCCTCGTAGAATAAAGCAATTCCTCGGCTGTTATGCTGGCTACATACATCCCTGTCAACATTGCCGTGCCCAAGAGATGTCCAGATACTCCTGATACGCACACACACACACACACACACATATATATATATATATATATATGAATATATATAAATATATATAAGCATATATATATGCAACCTTAGTTTATAGAATGCGGTGTCTACGCACTCAAGGTCTTCTTAGACCTTGCTGTACTGGAAGAACTATGTACTCACGCAGATCCCCGAGTAGTATCCTTAAATTCAGCACATCGACATGCGGTACGCCAACCAAGAGACCTACCAAAGCTAGCAAGCACGCATGCAGAAACGCTCGCGTTAGTGTTTGAGACACTATACCCTTCTCCAAGCCGACCGCGATGGTTCCACCTGCACTAGAGCCATCGTATGAGAAACCAATACTGTAGCCGTACTGAGTGTTCCACTTCAGGGCTCGCTCAGGCGAGGTGTTATTCTTGTCACGAGTGTCTGTGCATCGATTGCTGTCACTGTGTGGGCGAGATGTCGAGTATGTGTGAGCACGTGTCAGGTTCACAGGTGCGGTGTGATGGGAGATTACACAGCCTTAAATACTTGAGCAAAGACATATACAGATATCTCAAGAAAGTACCGAACATGCAGCACTCAGTGCCTAGTCCATCACATGTGTGATGGCGGAATGGTATTCGTGCTCACCAATGCGCGTAATGAGCAGTACAGTCACTGTCGCAAGTGATTTGAACAAGTGAAGACATCAAGGCACTCAGATGGGCTAGTTTGCCCAAGCTGAACGAGACAGGAAAACTCATTTTCTAGTACTATGGTCAGAAAGCTACTCAACGCAGCCCAGAAAAGAAAAAACACAGTCGTACATTTACAGATAGCTTGTGCATACAAAGCCACAGAGAACTTTGCAGCACTCAAGTTTGGATATGGGAGAGCCAATGCATGTTCACTATGTCATACGATGACCTGGCTGACTGAGCTCTCACTGGAAATACATCCTGACACATACCAGGATAGGAGGCGATCGACGCTACATCCTAATTTGATATCAAATCGCATACAGACAGACCCTGCAGGAACAATTGGTGATGGAGCTTGGGTTCGCGAATGAATTTGGCACGGCGCGCGTGACGAGTACTTCAGGCTTTAATGCATGCATGAGAGGCCTGGGTTTACAAAACAGGGCATAAATAACCGCAGATGATATTGTACTGCAAATTGAATGCGGGTGAAGTATAGATAACGTACACTCTCATGGGCACGAACAATGGTCCAATGCACAGGCGGAAATTTGTATTCACGCATGTTCAATTATATACATACATTTATATACGTACATTTATATTTGTTTACCTGACGGAATTAAAGGCTCAATATCGGCCACTTGCTTGGGTGTTATAACTCGCCCATGCTGGAGGTAATTGTTTAGGACTATCTTCGCTCTCTATAAAGATTAGATAGAAGAAAACCCTTTTGTAACCGTACTGTGATACGCAACGACATTAAAAAAAGTCACGTCGTGTATGTGGAAGGTGAATGGGAAAACAGGTACAATGGCAATGGTATAGTTGAACGATTCACAACATACTGCTAATGAACTAGATACATTCTCAAAAACTCTCATGATATCATTTGAAAATGCAGACCAACTGTGGTCAGGCCTGAGTCATGTCTCTCACAAGCCCAGCAGTAGAAGCCAAAACCCTCCCAACAACACGCTAAATACCACCGCAGGGTTTGGTAGTTTGTTATACACTATTACCAACCATACCTCGGATTCGGTACACACTATTACCAAACATACCTCGCTGTTTAGACTCGTGTAGACCAAGCATGTGACCGCCTTGTAGTTGCACAACAAATGCACCACTGTGAGCAGTGCAAACGACGGCCAGATGATGTAGGGGTGTGTGTCTGTGTACTGTGTCAGCAGCATTCCAAAGACCAGGGCTACTAGCTGCACCATCTGCTCCTGACTACCGTCCTGTGGTGTGGGTGGGGGGATATGGCACCTTCATCACTGCATAGACTTGTTAGAAGCAAGATAAGGGTAGATTCGGAATGGTACGTGATATAGCGCACACACATATACATACACTCCTCTGCTGATAGTCACGCGTGCGTATTCGTAGGGTCTCCACACTTATACACAACACGTATAAAGCCTGTGGGGCTGCACCAAATCAGGCAAACTGGGGCACGCAATGCTAATTTCTCTAGCCGTGTCAATTGGGAGACTTCTCTGTGTATTGAGTTTCCGATACTAAGAGAGAACACACGGATAAGACTTTCTTACGCCTGTCCGCAGTGGTCTGGGTAAACACCAACTTTGAATAGATCATGGGTGGACCAGCCTGAACTACCGAATAGATCATGGGTGGATCATCCTGAACTACTGAATAGATCATAGGTGGACCATCCTGAACTACTGAATAGATCATGGGTGGACCAGCCTGAACTACAGGATACGATCTAATGCACAGACACGACTGGCACAACACCTGTTCATGGTGCTCTAGCATACCATGCAGCTGAAACGCATGAAGTTAGCATGTCAGGTGCACATTCCTACTTACACTGCTAAATCATGCACGTGCACGTATATCCTAACCCCCCCCCCCCCCCGGTCAACTTTCCCCCCAGTCCATCCGTTCACGGATTAGCTCATCCGCTTGTAACACACAATCTCAAACCAATGAGATACCGAAACGCAACGGAAACAGAGGCTAGCAATACCTTTGCCGCCACATCAGCGGCATTGTTAGTAAGAGCCTGGTGCTGTGTGAGGGCCGCACGAGTAGCTCCGCCTGCCACTCCTACTATAGCTTTCATGAGAGAGCCTACGCATGCACACACCACAAACCCGTCGACAGCCCAGAATCTGCCGGTGGTTTAGAGCGCAGGCGTAGATTGAATAACTTGGTTGTGTGTGTGATACTGAGATGGTATGGGTGGAGTATACGATGTTACACACACCTATTGACTGTATAGACCTAACCAACCGTTATGTACAGGTGTAGACACAACGTTATGGTGCATGTATATAGGCTGGTTTCATTCGCGTGTGTCGTGAAGCCAGATCAAAGCAGAACCGCGAGCTTCAAACAGAGTTGTAATGTATGCTCGTGTGTTCAATTTTTTGTACCATCCGTTCCGCCTCACTCCTCACCGCTCTGAAAAATAGGCCCAAACCAAACCCTGCACATAAAAGTATCCCTATGTACACAGACATAGTCCGCCCAAAACAGAAAGTAGTATATGAGACGCACATACGCATCCTTATCACCATCTCCATCCACTCCACCGGCGAGTGACATGGTGGCCACTCCCACAGCGGGTGCAGCTATTTCAATGCAAATAGCCAGATCATTCAGCACATCCGCAACTAAGCGCCAGTACTTGGAGTCGGCATCAAGCGTAGAGGCGTACGAGTAGGCAAAGAGAATCCTTCCCATCATGGATAGACCGTCCCTCAGCATCCTGCAACATCAGCGAGGTGAGTGCTCACATAAAGGTTATATATATATATACATACATATGTCACGACACACTGGCACGGACGAGAACACACACTCGTGTCCATATGCGCGTTGGATATGGGAAAAGAATGTTAAAATGACCCACCCGTAACCATACACACACAATAGCATACCAAGTGATCATCACATGCACACACATTAGCATACCAGGTGATCATTGCAGCAGAGGCGGTGGCCTTCGCATCGCCCACGCCATACCCTGCGATGCGGAAAATAGGAGTGATTCGAATATTAGAGGATGAGATGATACGGTTTTGAAAAGTGAATGGACTTCGTTAAGCTCGAAGGCTTAGGCATGCGTACATATAATAGGTGGCAGTGGTAAGAGCGTTCGTCCGCATGGTCTAATCATATTTCTTCTTCTCCTATTTTTCACGTGAAACGCCCAGACCGGAGGCTCAGGAACTATCCCTATCGGGTAGACAAGGTGCTACATACGAACAAACAGCTAGAGATATGTTTACTATCGAGACACAACTCCCAAGGCATAGAGACGACATGTGTCCTGTTGTCGCCGTATCTACAAAGGCTCAAGCTGAGCTCATAAAACCTATCACAGTAGCCTGCTCAACTACTTTGCAGACTGTCCGGCTAACCCGTACTGATTTTTTTTAGGCATAGCTCGAATAGTACTACCAAAAATATATAAAACAGACCACAGGACCAGCCAGCGGTGCACTAGAGGTTACTGAATGAACGGTGCAATAGTCTCGCCCGTTTGGAGACAATGTCACACTATGTGGCAGACTACAAAGCATGCGATCTATCAGGTATTGTGATTTACTGCGTTGTTGGTGCGTGTGCGAATGGTAGGCTACTTGTGTGTGCGAACGATCAAGATGAATTGAGCTTGATTGAACGATGATGCTCGTCTATCTGTTTTGCCATACACTTGTTGCCGAAAAATTTGAATATACACGCACACTTCAGATGAAATCTTTTTAAATGGAAATAAACCAGGATACAGGTTTTCAACTAAGCACTCACTATTATAGACCTACGATAAAGTACCAATGAACGCATTAAGAACTAGCACGCACTAATATAAACTTCATATGTAGTACCAACGAACGCCCGAAATACCTATCAACCGCGCATGATGACGAAGTATATCCGTTGTACGGAGATCAGCACAAGGTCTGATAAAGAGTTCTAGATACCAGAACACCACTCGCGGTATTCAATTGGCATACAATACCTTGCAATAGTGCATGATGGCACAGTATATTGTTTATAGAGCAGCAAAAGGCTTGAAATTCGCATACAATACCTTGCAATAGTGCATGATGGCTCAGTATATTGTTTATAGAGCTGCAAAAGACTTGAAATTCGCATACAATACCTTGCAATAGCGCATGATGGCTCAGTATATTGTTTATAGAGCTGCAAAAGGCTTGACCGGTATCCCATATCTGGTATTCCAGGTAGTCGTCGCTCACACTGTCCGGGTATCCGATAGGCAAAAACGCACTCTTTAAGAAGTCCAAGGCTGTCCGAGCATCACCAGTCGCGTGCACACGAATAGGTGCACGAGTATCTTTGGTGGTTCCTGTGGGGCCCTTCTTGCTTTGGTTATTTGTCCCCTCATACACCCAAGAACGGTCCCCACGGCTCTCAATGATGGTAGCCATGGCAACGGGAGTACTCGATAGAGCGATGTTGGGAGATATTTTTCTCGCAGCAGATACTTCTATACTGTAGTAAGCATGTACAATGCAGACATAGAATATACGCCGGATATGTAAGTAGGTTAAATAAATAGACCGTCTATGAATAGTCTACTCATTTGCATGTCGCGAATAAATACTTCCAGTTTTTTTAACAATTGCCTAACAATGCAACAAATTGCTTTCAGATGAAGTTTATTTAGTGCGCAAGTAACTGAATACACAGACCGCTCGGGTGTGCTTTTTAACAGCTGTACGCTATACACAACACTTCAATAGTGATTGAGTGAGTGGTGACTAGTGACTGGAGTTGTGATCTCACTTATTACACAGGGATATGTTTCACAACCCAACCCAGTCCGTAAAACCCAATACACAACCCAACCAGTAAAACCCAACTGGCCAAATTCAAATTTGGCGGTTTCTAATATGTGAAATACATTCATGATACAGCACATACGCGTACTGTACACATATTTATTATTATAAAAAATATAAAAATATGGCTCGTGCTATCATATGATATAGGGCGGCGATATAAATATACTTTTTTGGTCTTATGTAAAGGCTATGCCGGCTATAGTTGTTGTGCACACTTGCATGCCCCGCCAATGACGGACATGCAGTATGAGTTATATGTTTATTTATCAATATGAGTTATGTGCTTATTTATACATATGATTTATGACTTGTGTGCTTTTATAAATATGAGTTATGTGCTTATTTACAGTATACATATATGTAGTTAGTACCTCCTGTGTACGATTGAAGTGATAGAAGTACATATATACTTTAGTGATAGAAGTGTACATATACTTACTCATAGTCCAACTGGCCCGTCAGGTTCTGATCATTTATACTCGACTGGCCTAACATCGGCTTTGAGGCCTCGATACGAGCATACCCAGATACCGCATACCCAGATAATACTATCTAAGCTACAAGCCACCATGTCAGTTAACCGCCCTATGGGTGGTCCTACCATAGACATATGTTATTCCAGCACGATTCCGCTAAGTGGTGTTCTATTGCCAACCGAACTAGTCCTGAAAGTCTTATCTGAGCTCAACCTAGACACCCTACTGCAGTGCAAGCTGGTTAGCAGAGCCTTCTATGGCGTAGCAAGTGATCCCACCCTATGCAAGCGACTGCATTTACTACAACGCATGTACATCCGGAGGAAGTCAAATGAACAGCTGTTCGCATTCGCAGCGAGGTTCCCGATGTTGGAGGAGTGGGACTTTCGGTTTCACAAGTCGATGGATGTCAATAAAGACCTCGTCGAAGGGCTTTGCGATATACTTCCAGGCCTCAAACACATACAAATAGCACCCCAGCTCAGTTGTATGAGTCAACGGCTGTACGAACTAGTCACCTTCTACTACCCGAATATAACAGAGCTGACTATACATGCTACGTCGACAGTTTATCCATCGAGCGCATCACTGTCATCTCTGGTGAGTCTGAATGTAATGTCAAGGGCTCTACCTTGTATATCGTCTCCCAGTCTAAAGCGCTTGCAGGCAGGGATACTGGAGTCGGGAGCGGTACAGAGTTTAATCACCGGGTGCCCGAAATTACTTGATTTGCGCTTGCACAAACAGGATTTAGACGAAGAACTTTTGAGTGTTTGTCTGACCAGACTCCAAGTAAATACGGTCGTGCATACCAGGGCCTTAGTGAGTTGCCCATCACTCCGTAGGTTTGATGCTGCTCGAATCGCTGAGGGTGTGGGTAGCTCTACCGTCACTGAAGTGAACACCGCCATTCGAGATATGCGCTGTGATTTGCTAAAACAAGGATTTCCTCAGTGTCGACGATTAGTAAATATCAGCGACAAAGTCTTACGTACAGCAAGAATCCCTCCTGGCTTCCGATCGGACCATCTGGAAGTGTTACTGAACATCGCAGAGCTGCCGCAAGAGTGTTTTCTGCCCAATCTCAGAGTGCTCGAGATAGCCATGCCGGAGGACTCGACCTTCTGCTTTAGGTTTCCGCACCTCACTCGGCTCACGGTGGGACTGTTCAAGGACAAACGGTCCCTGGTAAAGACTGTAGAGGGCTGTCCATTTTTGACCCAGATTCGGTTCTTAAACAAGAGGGGTATGCCTTGGAGAGTGGGTATCGCAGGCAGTGCCGACGACAAATGGCACGAACTGGCCCAATTGGGTTTGCGGACTGATGTGGAGTTCAAATTAGGGTAGACGAACAGAGCGGCATACAAACAACAGCGAAGGGCCGACGCCCATATGATGTGAGCCAGTTTCTCTGTCCTGGGTCTTGTGTACAGGCGACGGAAAGCCAGTTAAGTGTTGATATACCAGCCTGCAGCTCAGATATGCGCTCTACTGCGCTTGGATCTGGTAGTGCGTCTAGTGTGTTATGGGTTCCCAAGCTACTTCGACCGCTATATCAGAGTGTTCAAACCAGATTAGCTTCCGATACTATCAGAGTTTCTGGCAGTGAATGAGTGGCATTGTTCATCGAGTTGTTGTTGCGAGCTGAACAGACGTACACGTCTGTACCATCCTTTCGCCAATGGGCAGTTGAGCACACAAACGTAATGGCCAGTAGTGTTTCCTTGTGTAGGGACGAACAAACGCAGCAGCCTCACAAGCTTAACCTCTATGTCTCCGTCAATACACAACGTTTATTCCAAAATTCAACTGCGCACATATAAAGTCAGTTGGTTTAACTCGTTTGTTGTGAGTGCACTGAAGGTACATCGTAATCTATTTAATTGTATCCATGGAGAAGGCCCAGACATCGTACTACCATTGCCCTATCCTGCTATTTGAGTAGTGGTGTATACGTTTCTTCTCGAAGACGTTGCAACAGCCTAGGCACAACGTTGCGTCCTGCCCTATCCTAGTAACTTTCAGCTATCCGGCATCGAGTCTAAATCATCCGTATCCGAGTCTTAGTGCATACTATGGCACGCGTCAGCCTTGGAGTTGTGGTATTGTTAGAAGAGAGTGATGGCTGTTGCGGTTGCCATCTTGATACTGGAGCTCTGATTGGAGGAAACAAAGATGCTACAGCCACCAGTGCGTACTCTGTGGGGCTGGACAACACGCGCCTTATTGTGCTGGGACTGCAACAAAGGGGTTAGACACCACCTTAGTATACTCCTCCTTCTGAGACGCTACCAGGACTCTTGCAAGGGTAGGTAAGTACAATACACCGCATGGGCAGGTGATAGTGCGCAGTATAGTCATCAACTTCAGGGTGGTCCCGTTGAAGCTCTGTACGTCACACATATCCGGGATAGCCCACATAGGACTACATATGATTGGAGCAAACAGGCAACACAGCTGTACCCAGGTGGCCGGGAACGGCGTTGGCCAGCATAGACGTTTCCGACCACCGAGACACATCACATCCAGCACATCCATGCCAACGCTACCACTCCAGCACGCACACTTCATACAAGACAAGAAAAGAAGGGTGCTGACAATCAGTAGTCCTATATAGCAAAGGGGTCGTAGGCAGCACTCTGCGCGGGCCGAGTGGAGAGATTCGATGGTGAATTGGCTAGGTCTGGCGGTGCGAATGGATCGTTCGTAGGCGGGGTGTTAAAGTCGGCCGATTGGGTTACCCTGGGTTGCATGAGGGCGTTTGAAGTGGAATCGATTAGCAATTCAGCGGGATTTTACGGAGCAAGCAATGGGAGTACAGGAGAGTGTCCGCAAATATGAGCCCCAGGAGAAGTCCGACGTGAACGACACAATAGTCAATATATACTATGGAGTCTGACGAAGATTTATACATATATTTGTGTCCACTTAGATTCTTCGACTAATAAACATTGCAGATGGCGAAGAAAGGGATTAATGTATTTATCACTGGTGTCTTATAACCTCCACAGCTTGCGATACTCCATTTTCTTTCCAGTCAAGTATTAGCGTGTAGAATATGCAGATAGAGTATGCATATGAAGCACACAACCATTGCAACATGCGCACCGTATAGATACAAGCAGAAACTGTATAACTACACCCACCTGAAGTCGACCGTATTGCTAACCCTGTGTTTGGCCCTCGGTCGTTCTCGTGCACCATTTGGCGTCGTGGGCGTTGCACCTGTCATTGGTGAAATAGGACCAGCACCTGCCAATGGTGATATAGGACTGACCAGACCTGCGTTTGGCTGTGTATTTACAGTCATATTTGGACCCAAGCTCATGTGTTGTGGTACTGATGATAGTGGGCCCGGAGATGGCGGAAAGCCGCCGGGTGAGGCGTTTTGGGGCGAATACGGTCTCTGTTGTTTCAAAATAAGACAATTTGTATATTAGCGCTGCGTGTAAGGTTAAATATCAATGTTCGACGGAATGGCGACTGGAGACCATCTAGCACTGATGGTCGGCTGAGTTCGAGGATGGGTATTGAATCGGAGCGCTCTTATGCGAAGGCTTACTGTAGACTGATCTATGATGTGTACATACTATGTAAAAGACACAGAGAGGGCATCTGACAGCTGCAATGGCGGTAACATACGGGTGCAGGTTAAAACAGAAGTGTTTCATAGGCCGACTGTTTACAGGCTAAGGGAGAATGTAGTGCGCTATGAGAGTGGCCTAACGTTGGCGTATCTGTGTACAGAGCACCGCAGCACCTCCCAAAGCTCGAAGCAATCCAACACGGAACAACTATCTCTTATTATATACACAAACCTACCTATATTATTTGTCAGGTACCTGTTTTAGGATACGCAACTACCTATCGCGTAGGCAGGCACAAATCTACCTACATACTCCGTATGTATGTACGTATGTATGTATATATGTATGTATATATTTATAGGCGTATACGTATGGCAGCTAGCTTTTTTTAGTAACCGACGTAGGCGTGAGTCCAAACTGTTATAATCCAACACACCTGCGGCAGTGCAGCACCCATCTGGCCCATAGCATAGGCCCTGGCCATCGGAGTGCTACGAGTGCGCTGGTGACCCATTCTGGCGGAGTCCTCGTGGCTAAACTGACTCCCAGTACGGCTACTACCATTACTACTATTACTATTACTACTATTATTCCCCGCGGCATACAGGTTCCCGCCCAAACTTGCGCCAGACATCGGCTGAAACTGAGGCTGAGGCTGAGGCCCACCCCCCACCTGGCCCGGAGACGCGCCGGTGAACCTCTGTACATCGGACGATGTGTTTGGTTGTATATGGACGCGAGGGGTGTTTGTGGGTGCGTGTGACTGAGTCCGCGCGTGTGTCGGTGGCTGCCCTCTCTGTGTCGCTTGTGGGGACAGGGAGTGCACCCGTTCGCTTTGTGTGCGCTGAGCTCCACTGTCGAGGCCTGCGGGAGACGGGGGGGGGTGAATGCAGATGTAGAATGTCTAAACGGAAATGGGCTGGGAAATTGGACTGGGGATTCAGATTTCGATGTAGGTTTATATCAGGTTATTGTGACGAATTGTGCGTGAACATAACATGTAGCGAAGTTTTGTACAGAGCCAAGCCTGGTATGTATGTGGGGGGGAGGGGATGTGGATGTGGATAGTAATTCATGAGAAGAAACTATAATTGATAGACCCGGAAATCAATAGGAGTTTCACACACACGGGTAGCAGATATCTGAACACCACGGTACGTTGCAATGACTCTATTTTTCTACTCATACCAAGTGATGTTCCAACAACGAAGCGTGCTTATCATATTGTACTATCAGATGAATAGCGGTAAGTTCGATTGGCAGATGCAGGGTCCTAGTGTATAACGAATATAATAGTCTATACACGTCAAGTTATCAGTATAAGCATTCGGTTGGAACATACCCAGACTGTTTGGACTAGGCTGCGGTGACGGTCCGCGTAAGGCGCTTACAGTGGATTCTAACGTCCGGCTGAGCATCAGTTGCAGATTCAACCTATTCTTATCAATTGCCGGGAACATCTCTACTAATTTCTGCAACCTTGTATTTCGAATCGGGTTTGCTTTACCCAAAAGAGTGTGTATCCGGTTGGAGACCGCGTATATATCCGGGCGAGTTTTAGGATTGGAGTTCAGCATAAATGCGACAATTTGATCTAGTTTCTCTTTCTGGGAAGGGGTAGTGGTCGTCGCGCTGGTTTGCGGTGGGAAGCTGAAATGGCCTGCGGCGAAAAGAGATATATTACTTTCAGTGAGGAATAGCGTGCGCTTCTTTATAAAATCGTTCATTTTCGATCGTTATTTTAAAAAATTAGCAAGCTGGTGAGATCACGACATAAGCACTTATGATTTTTGATTCAGTGAACGCTCGCAACAGTTGAAGTTCATATTTACCTGAAATAATGGATAGTGTGCTATCCCCAAAAGGGGTGTCCCCGTAAAGCAGCTTATACAGAACACAGCCTAAGGCCCACACATCGCACTTCTCACTGATAGGCTGCCCACTGTAGAGATCGACCATTTCTGGACTGCGGTACTGTGGGGTTGTGTGCTGGTGTAATGGGTGGGTAAAGCCATCCATATCAGTAGAAGTGACAATCTAGAGAGGCGCTTGTATTGCGATGTGTGGGGAAAGCCATCCATATCAGTAGAAAACATGAGATGCTAATGACAATCTAGAGAGGCGCTTGTATTGCGATGTGTGGGGAAAGCCATCCATGTCAGTAGAAAACATGAGATGCTAATGACAGTCTAGGGAGGTGCTTGTATTGCGATGTGTGGGGAAAGCAATCCATATCAGTAGAAGACATGAGATGCTAATGACAGTCTAGAGAGGCGCTTGTATTGCGATGTGTGGGGAAAACCATACATAGCAGTAGAAGACATGAGATGCTAATGACAGTCGAGAGAGGTGCTTGCATTGTGACGTGTGGGGAAAGCGGCACATAGCAGTAGAGTATGTGAGATGATAGTGACAATCTAGACAGATATGTGTATTGTGATGTGCGAGGAAAGACAGTCTTATAAAACATGGGATACTAACTGGGATTTAAACAGAGAAATACTAGTGTAGGGTATGTGAGCATGTCCGGTGCTCGAAGAGCAAATCACACACCCACGAACGATAATCCATAGATCTGAGAACCAAGGATGTGCTAATTGTGTACATCCATAGACAGCTATATATTCACGACGTACACACACATCCTTGTAGTAGTACCAGGTGGTCTGGCGCCCTTGTCATACCTTGCTGATGTCGGCTTCGATGTCTGTGCGCGAAGTGGCGTAGAACTGCGTCCTCGCAGCGATCGCCCCAGTCCCACCGGCCAGTGCAACCCTACACGTGGCTGAGCCGAAGTCACATAGTCGGAATCTATTCTCTTGGTCCAGAAGGATATTCTCCACTTTCTGTGATAACGTAATCCGTAGACGTTAGATGCATATGTTGGCATTATAGGATAAGCCTACCTAGGCGACCTTGCACGATGTCGAAGCAGTAACGCAGTCGAAAACTGCTCTCGTTGTCAAGGTGGTTAGTTTTCAGTTGCTGTGCTTAGTGGTTCGTACGAGTTAGATGTATTGCCTGGAACTGTTGGATATGGGTGTGCCTATGTGATCCTGCCAGTCGCCCAGGCCAAACCCACACAATTAGAAACAACCCACGATACCAGGAAGCTGATTCTCCTCATTCTATACTAGGGTATTGCATACTTCCTAACCAACCGGCCACTTGCAGGAGAGCAACCATAGTGATCGCTATACAGGAGATAAGAACTACAAGTAGAGACCAAGCTTTGAAGTTGTACGCACACGTGTGTGAGTACTACAGGGATTAGATGCGCGTGAAGCCACACGATCTTCTTTCACCAACACAATACTTGCATATACAACGACCTGATGATAGAGAGCGTGTGAGCTTTGCAGAGCAATACCTATATATATACATTGATCTGATGACAGAGAGCGTGTGAGCTTTGCAGATACCATCCGAACTATCAGCATCGACGAAGCCTTGTAGAAGACAAAAGGACGTGTTCCTATGGACACTCATTCAATTTGAATATATACAGCGCTTGCAGCTTTATGTGCCGAATTCAAACGGTTTGAACCAGTGCAAATAAACACGGATCAGGTATTGCTCCACAGACGAAGGGCGTACACACAGACACGGCGTCGCTCGCACTCGGTGTCCTCAGAAAGATATTGGGTTTTACGAATATTGCTATCTCGGCGCAACAAGATGAACAAGGTATAGGCCATCCACACACATACATACACATACATACAATGTCACGATGGATGTACGGGGCGTCTAGGTTGTGCATTGCACCAAGGGCCACACACATACTCGCCATGCATTGGAGCACAAAGGATATCTGCAGTGCTGAGGAGATGTGAGATACGATATGAGAAAGTATCTCGAGAAGATGCAGCTGGTATAGCGGTATCAATACCGGTATCAACAGTGCAGGTAGACCAGAGCTGGGTATCGGACATCGATGGTAAACTAATGCGGTAGGGATGCAAGCAACAAGCAATGGGATGTGAAGCGCATGGTGCATCGCTCTCTGAAAGCTCTGCAGCAGAAGCAGCAGGTGGCGATTATCCCATCCAATTGAGTTGCGTGGAAAGCAGACGGGCTTTCTTCTCTTGTTCATGGGAGTTAGTACATACGTAGAATGCGAACCAAAAGCTATTCCTTTTGGTCATACAAGCCGACATCTGACAGCTTGCAACGCAGACGTACTTCATTTGTACATACGTACAATCTATAATAATTAGTGTGAAAACTTAACTCGCGCACTTTGGCCGTACACCCGCTACATAATTAGCGTACACAGCAGACTTACTTTCTTTGTTCATTCAGTAGATACTAGCTTTTCATTTCGTCTTACATTCTATATCCACCCACTCGGTATACGATTAGTCGGAATACGCACAATTACTTTGTTTCGTCAATACACAACAGGTACAAGCCACGTGGACAGCATACCTACTTCCTATGTTCATAAAAGAAGGCAATCAAAAACCTGACAGAGATATCTGGCTGCCTTTACCCTTACACTCGGCATGCAATTAGCGCGCAAAACAGACATACTTCCTTCGCTCATACAGCCGATGATGCCCCGCGGACAGTACTGCATCAGAAGATAGCACTCAATTTGGTTGGCATGGCCTTTCAGCGGTATTCGCGCACTCCCAAAGTACTCGATCACACCACTGGATCCTAGTGGACTAACGAGAAGACATGGTTGAATTCTTGGCGAGGGAAAGAGTGCTAAGCTACACGCATGGATACATGTAGGCGCGATATGCCTACAAGACGCACAATAGAGGAATTGGTTATTGGAATTTGGATTGTCACTCTGAATAGCGCCAAAACCCGCCTACAATTCGTGATTCTGGTGTCTATTAGTTAATTCCTTTCGATGTCATATCCGTGTCAGATAGATAAGTGTGAACGGGTGCTCAATCAGACAAGACATTTAGTATATACAAGAGATGCACTGTACAGAATGCATGTACACAGAAGTATCATATCAATACCTATATACAAATAAAAACATTAACTCTTTATATATATATATACATATATACATGTGTGTGTGTGTGTGTGCGTGTGTGTGCGTGTGACGTTATACCCCAGTAGATATGCTAGCGAAGGCATTATCTCACCTGCTGCACGTGTCCCCAGACGACTCAGCACCGCCACCTCCGCATCCATCTCACTCTGATCATCCGTAGGCAGCACAAGCCGTTTCAGTGCGTATGGTGTACGTGTACGCACATCATGGCACTCAAACACATAGCTGTACCCGCCCTCGGCTATAAGGCGGTCAATGGTCACGGTCAGCGAATCCACAGTTACCGAACGGCCACAGAACTCGCGCTCAACGACATCCTACCCGTAATAGAGGTGTGTGCAGTAATAATTTAATGGGCAGTATTGAAATTGTGTGTGGTTTTAGTCGTGTGTTACACTATGGAGTGTAGAGCACTGATTGAGCGTGTACAGATGATTGTGTGCGGA